ATATTATCACAGGGTCTGGTGCTAAGACACTATGCAGAATAGAAGTCCCACAGAAACCAACATCCTGCTTGCTTGGATCCTTGTTTAAAGGTTGCAAGGCTGGAACCATCTCAGGGGACCTCTGTCACACAGCTTTTCCTATTGAGTCTGCAAAAACCTGATAATAGAGGCAGCTGTGGGACCAGGCTTTGACTGCTTGCTACTGCTCTCCTGTAAGAGCTGTGTTCATGACAGAACAGGGAAAAGCTTGAATCCCTCACATTTCCCTATGCATTGTCCATCATATTCAGGCCAATTCCTTCAGCTCTTTGACTTGGAAGGACCCTTGGCAAGGTGTGTGACCTTAGGGTGGCATGAAGAGCAACTCTCCCCAAATCTGCAGGTGGCACTGAGCCAGAGGAGGAGCAGCCAATGCACTGGGATTCTGAAGGAGCTGCTCAGGCTGCAGTAATGGTCTGGCAGGAACCTCACAAAGGTCAAGGATGCAAATCCAAACGTTGCACCTCAGAGAGGATTATACCACACACCAGTACAGGCTGGGGTATGAACAGCTGGGATCAGCTCTGAATGAAAATGACCTGGTGATCAAGACGGGCAGTGAGGTGAACAAGCACCACCAATGTCATTAATTTTAGGGCTCTTGCCCATTCAGCAAAGAAGGCCAAGAGCATCCTGGCTTGCCTTGGTAAAAATGCAGCCTGCAGGTCCAGGAAGGTGATTCACCACTTCTATTCAGGTTTTGTAAGACCATTTCTGGAGAGCTCTGTCCAAAATTTTGGCTGCCCAGTGCAGGAGAGGTACAGTCATGCTGAACGAGTCCTGCTGATGGCATTGAGGATGGTCAGAGCACTCTATATAAAAATAGCTGAGAGAGGTGGGATTGTTCAGCCTGGAGAAGTAAAGGCTTAGGAAGATCTCACTATTTCCTGACCTGAAGACACAAAAATGGTGTTGCCAGACACATGAACTAGTACAACAGTAATAGTAGTAGCAGCTCACTTTCTTAACATCTTCATGTATCTTGGAAAAATGGTACTCATTGGAAATGCTTTAAATTATAATTGTTCCATTTCAAGTTGTATGCAGAATAATACATTGCACTTTGAAAGATATTGTTGCTTCAAAGTGTGGCACTTAGAAGTGAGGGAATGACAAGATTTAGACGGATTTAATTCAGCTGTTTCTACATGTGCTCTGACTAATGTAAATGGTGGCATGCTAATTAATACATGAGCATGAGCTATGTTTCCCAAGGATCCCTGCCTCTCCAAGGAAATGAAGCAGACAGTAGGTCTTAGAACCTTTACTATTAATTAATTGAATTTTTATCTCTATACTGACTTTTTATTGAATACAACAGTATTAATTCTCTTGAAATACTTTCATGGTTTTTCTGACTTTAGCATATGGTTTCTCATAAACAGTAATTGTCATGGTTATACTTTCTGGAAAAATCTCTTCACCAGGATTTCTTCTCCTGGGAAGCTGAGAAGCCTCAGAGAAAAATGAAAAAACAAAATTATCTGATTTGCTTCTCCTGTGTTTTGCTGCTTTGGAATGTGGTTTGGACATTGTTTACCAACTGGTCATTGTTTCATTGCTTTCATGTGAATTGTTTTAACTTAATGACCAATCACTGTCAAGCTGTGTCAGACTCTGAGGAGTCACAAATTCCCATTATCATTCTTTGTAGCCTTCTGTCCACATCCTTTCTCTATTCTTTAATATAGTTTAGTATAGCATTCTTTTATGTAATATCATAAAATAATAAATTATCCTTCTAAGAACATGGACTCAGATTCATAATTTCCTCCTCCAATGGGGGACCCAGAAAATACCATACAGTAATGAACATCTCTGTTATATTTAGAGATGGTGTGTTTTTCCCTGTTTCCTGAGAGAGATTCCATGTACAAACTTACTGAGATTCATTGGAACTGCCCACTGATGGTAAGAATGGGCAGTGCTTTGCACCTGGTATTTGGAAATATTCAACAAGCTTTTAATATCTTACATGTTAGAAACATCCTTGTAATTGATTTCATTTTCCAGTTTGAGCTCCGGAAATGAAACCAGGTAAATCATTCAGACATTTCAAAAAATTACTTATTTGTACAGGTGGGAGGCACACTGTGTGAAATTGCACTGAACCACAAGTCACGTCATCAGCAAAGGTCAGGTCTTCCTGGGGACACAGAGGAGATCCTTATCACTTCAACTAACAGCTTCAGTTGTTCCTTCTCTGGACTGACCACCCAGGGGGGCAGGGCTGACTTTTGCAGTTGATTTCACATCCATTGACCATAGGAAAAGAGATAGTCACAGTACTTAAGTCAAATTTCTAAGGCAATGGTGCTTGTTACTTTGTTATGAACTCTGCTACTTTGGCTTTCTCGCTTCTTTTCCCATTTTGCCTCTATTCACTTAACCTTCCTTATACATTTATACTGCCTCTGCCTTCTTTCCAGCCCTCTTTGCCCTTTGTGTTGCCCAGGCTTTCCTAACCCTTGAACCCCCAGTGCTGGATGTGCCTTAGGACAAGTGGTCCCACCATGTGGGCTGTTTTTAATAAGATCTGTGAGCAGTGTCTTTGAGGTGAGCTAAAGTGTCCCTGTTCCTTTTCACTCCCAGAGTGGCTCCAGCACTCTCTGAGGTACTTTGGGAACAGTGGGAGGCCAGAGGGTGGAGGCTGGAGCCTGCCCAAGCGTCCATTTGCTGATAAATCATTTATTCAGAGAAGCTGTAAATGGATTCCACACACTCACCTCAGATGAATTCTTTGGAGACTGTGAGATACCAAAGTATCTCCCTAGAGCACAGCACACTGTACTGAGCTGTGCAGGCTGTGCTTGGGTTTGTTTTTGGGGCAGACTGTACGTCAGCCTTCTGCTTCTCACTGAGTAAAGTGTTGAAGTCTTTGGGAATTTTTTTTTTTGTAGATGGTGAAAATGTCTATTTTTCAGACTACGTATGACTGAATTTTAGCTGTAACTCTTAAATAAGAAAATCAGCCTGAGGCAGGTATCTTGTATAGGCAACTCCAGCACAAACAGCAAAGGTTTAATTAAATAAAAAATATTTTTATAAAAAATAAAAAACTGAGTTTTTACTGCCAGAAAGTACTGGCAATATTAACTATAGGTGCAAGTGTTATTTCTGTTTATAATATCACAAGTTTTCACATATTCTAGCAAGGTGTTTACTTTTTCTCTCCCTTTTATTTGAAATACTAGATCAGAACCATGATTCTGCACTTCATGTGGTTTTGAAGTCTTTAGCTTGGCACGTCTATGTTCTTTATCAATTATTGTTTAACTCCTTTCTCTTTTTTTTTTTTTTAATTATTTTTGCTACGTTCTTCCAATACCTAACACTTTATGTTTGGGATGTAATAGAAACATGACTCCAACAAAGAAATTGTTTAACATATGTGTCTGGTACATACCTAGCGACGTAAGACCACACCTTAAACAAATCCAAAAACCAACAAATTCCACAAAATTCCACCTCCAAATTTCTAATTTATTTTCACGTTCTAGCAGCAACAGCTCAAGGAAATTATTTTTTTTTCAGGATTAATGACAGACTGGTGGTAGCTGAATTCACAGATACCTATGGCCAAGAGCCTATTAGAAATAAACCAAACTTCTGCTAACATTCGGAGTATTATGTGCACTGTGATACACCTGCTGTGGAATCAGGGTACTGAGCTTTGGTGGTTGTGCTTCTAGCAGAGGAGACATCTAAATGAAAAGGAGAAATTGTTGCAATATGCTGTAAGTGTTCTCTAACATAACACCACTGAGAAACCAGGACTAGACCTCATATGCTAACTCCTACGAGCAGCTGTAAGAGCAAAGCTGTTGGTGCTCCGAGAAGTTTGTCATGTAAATAATATTTTTTCTTTCTGTTTCAGCCTTAAACTGTGAACAGAATGAAATTAAACTTGGAAGGAAACTGTGCAAACCACTAGGTTTTAATCCTGCACCTTTTGAAATTAATGTGAACATCCCTATAGTTAGAAGGTAAAAAAATCCTCTAAGTACTATTAATACGGATGCAATAATTAGCACTCATGGACAAGATTTTCCCTGATTCTTCACTAGATAATGGCTTTTCTGGCTTAACTTTTATCTTCCCACTCTCTAGTTCTCCCTCAAATGTAAGTAGCAGCATTAACTTCAAAATCCGCAGGTTGACTCTTCCTGCTCTTCTTTTTTCAATAATCCTTTATGGACATTACACTCCACCTTCGCGCCTGTGTGTGTTTGTATCTCGAGGAAGAGCTGATTCAGGCAGTGAATTATACTAGTACCTTGTTTAATAACTAACCCAAACATTTGCCCTTGACATTCTCAGCACCTCAGTGCTAATTAAACAAAATAAACAGAGACTAAATGGAAACCGGGCAAAGTACTTATCCTTCCTCAAAGATTTAATTTGGGATCAGCAACGCCGCTGACGGGAGACGGAAGCGCGAATCGCAGGTAAGCCCACACACGAATAATGAAACGCTGAATTATTTTTTTAAACCCTCCACTAATATCTTGTGATTTAAAGGTCACTCCAGAAGAAGAATCAAGGTCAGGCACGGCTAATCCTGCATCCGAGGCGGCCTTTCCTTTCGCCCGGTTCCTCGCTGCAGCGACGCCGCTGTGGGGCCGGGGGCGCCGGCCCGGGACCCCCTCAGTGCCGGCCACACCCGGGGGCTGCGGGGCCGCCAGGGCACAGCCGGCGCTTCTCCCACTCCCAGCGCGGCTGAGGCCCCCAGGGAAGCGGGACTTGACGCGAGGCCAGACAAGCGGCTCCGGGCGCCTCCTGCGGCCGCTGAAAGTTCCCCGAAGTCGGCCCCGGCGGGGCGGAGCGGGGCCGGCAGGGGCCGCGCCCCCGCGCCTTCCCCGCGGAGCGCGGCCCGGCCTCCCCCGGCAGGGGCGGGCTCGGGGCGGAGCGCGCCTGGCCGGGCCGGGCCGGGCCGGGCGGCGCCGGAGGGCCGGGGGAGCTGCTGCACCTGATACACCGGGGCGGGAGCGCGGCGGAGGAGGGCGGGAGGGAAGCGGCGCTGCCTCCGCCTGCGAACGCCTCTCGCCGCCGTTAGACAGCGCTGGTCTCGCCGCTTCTCCCTCCGCCCGCCCCTTCTGCGCGGAGCTGGGCTCTCGCTCCTGTTCCCCTCGGGGCCGGCGGCTGCGCGTCCTTCTGGTCTCCCCTGGGCCCCATGGCTTCGGCCGGCAGCGGCATGGAGGAGGTGCGCGTCTCGGTGCTGACCCCGCTGAAGCTGGTGGGGCTGGTGTGCATCTTTCTGGCGCTGTGCCTGGACCTGGGAGCTGTGCTGAGCCCCGCCTGGGTGACGGCGGACCACCAGTACTACCTGTCCCTCTGGGAGTCCTGCCGCAAGCCCGGCAACTTGGACAGCTGGCTCTGCGAGTCGACGCTGAACAGCGGTGAGATTCGGCTGCCCCCGCTGCCCCGCTCCCCTCCGCCGCCAGCCCTTGCTGCTTTCCCCCTCCTCGTCCGCCTCCCGTTCCCTTGGCCGCACCCCGGGCACTGAGAATTCCTTCCCCTCGCCGTGCGCTGGCTGACCCACCAGCATCCCTCGAGCTGCCTCTCCTTCACCCTAGTCTCCTTCGGGAGTGTCCCCGGCCCTTCTGGGGCCAGTCCCCCCGGACCGGAGCAGTGCCCGGGGCCGTGCCCCGCTGCCCCCTCCGGTTCCTCGCCTCGCCCTTTGCCGCCCCGGTCCCCTCCCGCTCCCAGCGCAGGCAGGAGCCCCCTGCCTGCACCTTTGTCCGCCCACCCTCCCTTCCCTTCCGAGCTTCTTCACCTGTCCCCATCCTCCTCCTCCTCCCCGTCCTCCCCAGCCGCCCCGACCCGCATCTCGCCGGCGCTCGGGCTGGGGCGGAGGCGGCGGCGCTCCCGGCGAGCGGCATGTGCGGGAGGGGCAGCGCCGAGCTCGGATCGTGCCCGGCGTGCGGGAGGTGCGAGGCTTCAGTGAGCGAAACGAGTCACATATGGTGGTGACTGCTTCCCTATGTGCCGTGGTACTGTCACAAAAGATCCCGAGTTTGAACTAGTTTTGATCATTTTTTCCGTGGAGAAACTGTTTGGGATCGAGTATCTTATACTGCCCCTCCGCCCCCATGTGAGAAGTCTCAGGTTCTGCAAAGTTGGGGCTTCCTAAACCCAAACCGGTTGCTACTTTGCCCAGAGTGGGGACGCCTGGGCTTGGACTCTCTCCATCACGCCGGGTGTGCTTGTGTGTGTGTCTTTCTCTAGCACGTACTGATCTCCCCATCGTCTTTCACGCTCCTTTGCCTTCATGCCACACTCCCCGTTGTGATTTCTTGATGCTCATTCGTACTTCACCTTTCTAGGTCTTTGATCACAGATTGTTGGTTTTTTTAATGTCATTTCACTATTGCTTGGAGTACTTCAAAACTGGGTTGTGAATGATAAAAACAAGCTGCCTGTTGAATATTTTTCAGTAAATTCTTTTGTAGTGTGATAATTGTTTTGGTTTTCATGGGTGGTTTTATTTACTTTATGCCTGATAGCAACTTCTGGAGCCCCAAGAGAAACACTGGCAAATGCAGCCAGTCTCTCCCCACATCGTTTTTATCCCCATTCCTGTCCACACACATACACTTGCATTGATAAATCATCTGTTTGGATTGCTGTGCTCTTTGGGTAAATCGTGCAGGGACAAGATGTGTGTTTTGGGAGGGAAAGCAAAGGACTGACTATATTCTTGGTGTGTTTTGTTTTCCTGTGTTCTCTAAAGTCCTTGTATAGGTTCTGGGAAATAACTGATCTCAGTTTGAGTTGGAATTACACAGGTTCTTTGCTGCTGTGCTTGTTTTGTTTTTTTTTTGTCGTGTACAGTAATATTTGAGAGTTTAAATGTTGTTTGAGATTTTAAGTAATATAAAATGAATTGTAAAGAAATGCCGGTTTCAGTCAGTTACCAGGGTGTCTGCTCAAAGTTTGGAGCGCTTTCTTTTCCTTCCCTGGTATAAATGGAAATTTATGTAGGAATGTCAGCTTCTACGTGTCTCCTTAGCAACGTGAATCCTTTGCCCCTTCTCCCTGTCTCCTGAAATAGTATCCCCTTGATTACAGAAAGACTTTTCAGATGGCTTGAATGAGAACCTGCTTCCAATGCCCCCCAGCCCCACAAGCTCTGCTGGGCTCCCCCCTCCATCCATCTCCCGTCACGCATGCGTGTGTACAGACACACACAGACACAAAAGTGGGACGGGGAGAGAGGCAGGACAGCTTATGGAACAACATAAAGGGACACTAATCTCTCTTGTTCCTCTCTTGGTCACCTGTCTGTCTGTGGAAGATGAATGGGTGAGGAGGGATAGGAATGAGATGTAGTTTTCATTGGATGCTGTGTGTTGAAAAGCTGGTCTGTCCTCTGCTGGTGCCTTCTTCTATCGTGCACAAATTTCTGCCTATCCAGTTTTATTCAAGTTCCTTGAATGAGCTTTTACCCATTTTCCTCAAATACTTTCCAGTCTAGTAGAGCCAAATTTCAGAAGCTACTGTGGAAGAAGTGAATGGTTGTTTTACTTGAGGTGACTGGGATAAACCCTTCACTTTCCTCGTGCTCAGCAGACAGTACTGCATTCTGACTAGACCTGTAATATGAGAAACTGCACTGTTTTCCTCTTGCCTTTTGCTACTGTGGTACAGTGGCCATTAAAGCCAATGGGAGGGCTCCCACTAAGTTCACCAAGTTGGATTGGGCTCATATTTGAGACCGTCTTGAGCGCTGGCATTAATATTTTAAGTGCACTTTCCGCCTACATTGTGAATCCAGCAAGCAGGATTTTGCAGATAGTGGAGAGCTCCCACAGGGAAAGCTCTTTTAGCTTGATACCAGTGCAGGCAGCTTTGCAGCTAGCTGTGAGAAGCAGCAGCACACACAGGGAAAAAGGCATCTTCACCCATGGTTTTAAGAGATTTACTTCATCATCCCTTGAAGGAGAGCACCTCAAGTGGCACCATCAAGGGCATGCTCACACTAGAAGCTGTTAAAGCATATTCGAGGCTTAATTAAAAACTTCTGTTGTAATTAGATGTAGGACCCCTGACTGCTGTCAGAAGGGCAACTTGGTAGTGGAGAGCAGAAGGAAATGCACGGAGATGGTGGCATTGGCTGTTGTAGCAGGGAATAATCTCATTTTTCCTGGAGCATTGCTAGTGCTTGGAGCACGTGTTCACATTCGTTCTTTCACTGTTCCAATGGCTTTTTTGTAACTTGCAAGTGTTGTTTGCTCACATACTACTTTTAAACTTGTGGAAGTACTTCACAATAATTATGGTTCAATTATGTAAAATAGTGAGTCAAATTAATTTTTTGACATCTGAAAATTATAAAATATCTCATCTTAATTTGCATTTTTTTTTTTTTTTTTTTTTGGAGTCCTTAGGATCTGAGTAAATCTCCCACTAGCAGCAACTTCAGGAGATGAATAACAAAGTTGCCAATGTGGAAAGCTTCATTGCAAAATCTTGAAATTCAGAAAAGCAGTTGTAAAGCTCTGAAGTTTCACCACCTGTCTTGGCATGTAGCTGTTTCCTGTGATCAAAGCTTACCTTGGCTAATGCACAAGTTGTCTTTAGACCCACTGTATTTTAAACTTGTGTGTCTTTAAACAAATTTATTTTTTTAGACCTTATTTGAAATGTACTATAGCTAGTTTGTGATGATTTATTTGCAGATTTATCAAAAGCGATATATGAATATTTATTCCTGTCACAGCATTGAAATTAAATGCATCCCATATAAAACTGTCTGGTATATCTATACCATCACAGGTACTTTTCTTCTTCCTGCAGATTAATAACAGTAAATTTGAATTTTTGCAAGACTGCAGCCACTATGGCTCTTTAAATCAAAGATACACAAATGTAATGTAGAAGAAATAAAGGGCTCCATAGAATCTGACCTGCAGGTGAACATTGTCTATTTTGACTTAAATATGTGTATATGTTATTCATAGAAAACAATGGCTCCTTTGCAGCCTTTCAGTTTATTGTGAAAACAGCACATACAAAAATAACATTTGAATGGTTTTGATTAACTGTATTCATTTTGGTGAATGTGGGGTATATGGCTTTTTTACTTTACAACCTGTGGATTTCTTTATGCAACATTCAGATTTCTTCAAGAATATTTTGCCCTTTTACAACTGCCCATGAGTACTTGAAAAACAAAACATCTCCAGGAAATACATGCAACCGAGTCTCTGAATGTGTATTAAACTTTGTGATGAGCAAACAGTGAAGGTAAGCTTAGCCTGTAGCACAGCGCAGTAAACAAATTGAGTCTAGTTTTATGCTTGTAATTTTGTTCTAATTTGTTCTTAAAATAAAAGCAGCATCAGAGGCTATTCATTCGGTAGCACTTCAAGGGCTTAACCTTAATTACACATTAGATGCAGATATCAGAATTGACATGCCAGAATAGTCTTGGATGGTATCTCCTTGTTCAGAATCTAAGGAGCTGTTCCAAGGGGAAATTGCTAGCTCAAAAGCAGCTTCCTCATTAGAAAATCTGGATCATTGCTCAGATTTGATGTTGACATGTATTTGTAAAAAGCTCAGCAAGGCTGGTAGTTTGCTATAAAATAACAGAAGAATGAATGTGACTTTACTTACCTGAAAAAAGTGGCTCATGCAATCTGAGGAAGAATTAATAAAACATTCCTTCTGGTTTTGAATACTGTAGTCTTTCATTTTGTATATTAACTCTAATAATCATCCCCAGCACTGTATTTGAAGATGGATATAAAATAAAAGCCATACTACTTCACACTCAGTGTCTAAGACTCTGAGCAGGCTGATCTAATTTTGAAGTTGAGTCTGACTTGAAGGTTGGCCCTGTTTGCCATGGGGAGCTGAACTAGGTGACTTCCAGACACCCTTCCCAACCTAAATTATCCTCGGTGATTCTGTGATGACTGACACTCTGTTCATGCCTGATGTCTATCTGGCTTCTTCAAACTGTGCAGAATGCCTTGAATTGGCTTAACTACCCCTCTCAGCAGCCCCTGATAGAATATTTCAAGGAATGCTCCCTCTCTTACAAATGGACCCAAGGCCATGGGAGCAGCAGATCCTGTTCAGTCTGGACCTTTTAGTATGGTGCAAGCTGCCATTGCAGGCACCCTTCTCCAAGCAGTAAGAGACATGGTTAGAGCTCATTTGTGATGTTTCTGTGAGCACCTCACACATTATCAGTGATAATACTCTTAAAAAATAAATACTTGTAGCTATAGTGGGTTATTGCTACTGCTGTTGTTCATTGCAATTTTAAAATCAGTAATGTATCCTGTTGCTTTAAGTTTTGTTTATTAACTATGATGTCCCTGGAGTTAGGGATAATGCAAGAAGTTTTAATATTTGATGAGATTTTTATATTTAGAATTGCATAGAG